TAATGATTGACATTCTAGAATTTATTTAAAAATAGTATCGACATGATACACATTATGCAACAAAAAAAATTAATCTTAAAATATTAATTAATATTAATATTATCTTAATATTAATAATCCCTTATTATTATGAATTAATGGTTAACCCTTGTGAAAATAAAGTAATACAAATTTTTATTTGAATTAAATTCTTATTTGAATTATTTGAATTAAGATTGACTGTATTACGATTATGAATTAAAAAATTTATTAGTAAGTGAATTTACTTTTATGAAATTGGCTTTATCTTATAAAAAGATGAATGGTATAAATTATTTTGATAACTTGTAAATTTATTCAATAGTTAAAGTCTTCCTCCAAAACTTTTCTCTGTGGTAACACATATCAGTCATTTTTAATAGTACAACACATATAACAATAAATATCTTAAAAAACCAGTTTTAAATTAATAAATTAATTATTTTCATGACTAAACCATTAAACCATTAGTCGCAAGACATTTACACTAATTAGCACAAGTTTCTTTTCTATTTATAAAATTCTAATTTGGAAAATAGATTAAACAGATAATTATGTAAAATTTTTATTAGGCCACCTGTTAAATGAATTGTAGTGGGGGTGGGGTGAATATAAATGTCATTGGTGTTACATAATGAATAATTTGAGGCTGGCTGTACATGAAAAATGAAATTTATATGAATTTTGGATTTGCAAATTGCATATGATATTTTGTATTTCAATCTTTAAAATCTTTTTTTTTTTTTGAAAAAAAGATTACATTCGTTCTTTTTTCTATTAAATAAATACTAGAAAACACAAAATGTGAGTCAAATTTATTGAAAATATGACAAACACTAACAATAATCATAATAATTCTAACAACAACAATGATGATACTATCATCAAAAATAAAATTTTGAACATTCACAGTGACCTGGTCTCTTCTCAAAAAAATTTAATTTCGTTAACGAGCAACCTATTCCAATTCTATGCTACTTGTACCACTACTACTAATAATAACAACCACAACAACAATATTAATAATAATAATAATAATAATTGTAATTGTAATTTGGACATTGGTAACTACAACAATAATATTTTGGACATTGGTAACAACGACAATAATAATAATTTGGATATTGGTAACAATGACAATAATATTTTGGACATTGGTAACGATGACAATAGTAATTTGGATAGTAGTAGTGGCAACAACCTTAATAATACCAATAATAGTAGTAGTGGTTCCAAGTGTTACTTTTGTGAAATGATTGGACATCTCCACTACAATTGTCCTAATGTGAAGGAAGAGTACCTTGATAAATGCTTCAGGTGTCTGGAGCTGGGCCACTTCGCAGGATCATGCAATAGACCTAGAAAAAAAAAGGATTTTATATTTAAAGATAGTTTCATTAGACCGGAGTAATCCATTTTTTTCTTGCCAGAGCACCAGGGGTGGCCCTTGGTGGGCCGGTGCATCTGGGACATTCAGACCCTGGGTGGGTTTGAATGTTTTAAAAAATTTTTTTTTTAAAAATTGTTTTTTTTTTAAAATTTTGTTTTTAAAAAATTTTGTTTTTTTAAAATTTTTTTTAATTTTTCATTAATAAATTGATCATTGAAACAATTTATATAGTAATTATCACATTTATATAACAAGTGTTGTTGCTTTATTATTATCCATTGATGTATAAAAAAATTGTTTTTACCTTCGCAACTGATTTGAATCCAAAATTTTAAAAATTCGTAATTCTACCAATTCTTGAGTTAAGTTGACGATCTTATATTCATTTAAAAGCCAAAGTTCCAACATTAATCATACTAAAAAATCGTATGTTGTTATTATGTAAACTTTAAAGATCGTTGACAATTTAAAATATTAACAATCTACACCTAAATTAAATTAATCATTATCATTTGATTTAATCTTAACCAAAATTCAATTGATTGAAATAAACCTTTGTAGTCTTACTTCTTAACCTATATGTTATGCTTATACATGATTATCATTCATTGATGTACAAAAAAATTGTTTTTGATTTTTTAAACCTTCGCAACTGATTTGAATCCAAAATCTTAAAAATTCTTAATTCACCAATTCTTGATATAAGTCGACGATCTTATATTCATTTGAAAGCTAAAGTTTCAACATTAATCATACTAAAAAATCGTATGTTGTTATTATGTAAAATTTAAAGATCGTTGGAAGTTAAAATCTCAACAATCTACGCCTATATAATCAATTAATCAATTATCATTTGATTTAATCTTCAAAATTTAATTGATTGAAATAAAACCTTTTTAGTTTTACCTGCTTTAACCTATATGTTATGCCTATGCATTCCTTGATGTATAAAAAAATTGTTTTTACCTTCGCAACTGATTTGAATCCAAAATTTTAAAAATTCGTAATTCTACCAATTCTTGAGAAAAGTTGACGATCTTATATTCATTTAAAAGCCAAAGTTCCAACATTAATCATAATAAAAAATCATATGATGTTATTATGTAAACTTTAAAGATCGTTGGAAGTTAAAAATCTCAACAATCTACACCTATATAATCAATTAATCAATTAATCATTATTATTTGATTTAATCTTCAAAATTTAATTGATTGAAATAAAACCTTTTTAGTTTTACCTGCTTAACCTATATGTTATGCTTATGCATTCATTGATGTATAAAAAATTGTTTTTGATTTTTTTAAACCTTCGCAACTGATTTGAATCCAAAATTTTAAAAATTCGTAATTCTACCAATTCTTGAGAGAAGTTGACGATCTTATATTCATTTAAAAGCTAAAGTTTCAACATTATCATATTAAAAAAAATTGTGTGTTGTTATTATGTAGACTTTAAAGATCGTTGACAATTTAAAATATTAACAATCTACACCTAAATTAAATTAATCAATTATCATTTGATTTAATCTTCAAAATTTAATTGATTGAAATAAAACCTTTTTAGTTTTACCTGCTTAACCTATATGTTATGCTTATGCATTCATTGATGTATAAAAAATTGTTTTTGATTTTTTTAAACCTTCGCAACTGATTTGAATCCAAAATTTTAAAAATTCGTAATTCTACCAATTCTTGAGAGAAGTTGACGATCTTATATTCATTCGAAAGCCAAAATTCCATCATTTATCATAATAAAAAATCGTAAGTTGTTATTATGTAAACTTTAAAGATCGTTGGAAAGTTAAAATCTCAAAAATCTATGCCTATATAATCAATTAATCATTATAATTTGATTTAATCTTCACCAAAATTCAATTGATTGAAATAAAAACTTTTGTAGTATATATTACCTCAACCTATATGCTATGCTTATACATGATTATCATTCATTGATGTATAAAAAAAAATTGTTTTTGATTTTTTACTGATTTGAGTCCAAAATTTAAAAAATTTGTAATTCTACCAATTCTTGAGCTAAGTTGATGATCTTATATTCATTCGAAAGCCAAAGTTCCATGATTTATCAACCAAAAAAATCGTATGTTGTTATTATGTAAACTTTAAAGATCATTAGAAAGTTAAAATCTCAATGATCTACACCTATATAATCAATTAATCATTATAATTTGATTTAATCTTCACCAAAGTTCAATTGATTGAAATAAAAACTTTTGTAGTATATTACCTCCTTAACCTATATGCTATGCTTATACATGATTATCATTCATTGATGTATAAAAAAATAGTCTTGGATTTTTTTTTACACCCAAAAGTTTAAAATTTCAAAATTTTGTAATTCTACCAATTCTTGGCATAAGTTGACGATCTTATATTCATTTGAAAGCCAGAGTTCTATCATTAATCATACTAAAAAAATCGTATGTTGTTGTTATGTGGACTTTAAAGATCGTCAGAAAGTTAAAATCTCAGCAATCTACGCCTATATAATCAATTAATCAATTATCATTTGATTTAATCTTAACCAAAATTCAATAAAAAATTTTGTAACCTCACCTTCACAATTTATATGTTATACTTATAGATTATTACCATTCGTTGGTGTATAAAAAAATAGTCTTGGATTTTTTTTTACACCCAAAAGTTTAAAATTTCAAAATTTTGTAATTCTATCAATTCTTGGAATAAGTTGATGATCTTAGATTCATTTGAAAGCTAAACTTTCATCATTAATCAACCAAAAAAATTGTATGTTGTTATTGTGTAGACTTTAAAGATCGTTGACAGTTAACCACTCACATTAAAATTCCTTGGTTTGATTAATATACAAAAAACCAATATTTTGCATCTCTCTTCTCCTTTTCCTGGTATCATTATATTTGCTTGCTTAACCATTATTAATTACATTTATCATTGTAGGAATAAAACATAAAGGAATTTTTAATGTCTATTTATAAAAAACCATAAACCATATTTATATAATATTATCTTTTTAATATTATTGATTTTTAAAATAAATGATTTTACTATAAAAGACATACCTAAGTGATCAAGAGCCTGTAAATATTCATAATAATGTAATATTTGGGCATTTATTTCTACTTTTGTTTGCAATTGGACGCGCCAAACCAATTTCTGCATATACGAGTATAAAGGCAAAATTTGACTTTGAGGGTCAGATTATTTTCGGTTTTATTAACAACCTGCCTTAAAAAATTTCATAAAGCAGATACATATGATAAAGAAATTATATATCAAATTTGGTGGTGGTTGCTACACAGCAAGGGTATCAAACGAGGGTGTGAAGACATTCAATTATAAAATTTCACTATGTAAATTCGAATTTTACTATGATGCAGATCATCCAAATTTTACTATGTTTTACAACCTCCTATAGATCGGCGGGAAATGTCATGCGACTAGTAATTAACATTTACGGATTTACGGTGATTTTTGCATACAATCAAAATCTACTAAATTTGAAATTGAATAAATACTAACACTTACACTAGATTGTTTGGTATGTATTCATAGTAAAATTCGTGTTACGTATACTCTGAACCTGCAATACGACTATGACGACACCTATAACAATTACACCAAAACCTACTACAATACCAATTACGTCCACATCATCAACACCAATAACTGAAACTACTTCAGAATTTAAATCTTCCACTAGAAAATATCATAAAACAGGAAAGTATTCTAAAAAACGTGCTACAACAGAAGAAACTGATTATTCAGCTAACAACAACAACAACACTGCTACTGCTACTGCTACTGCTACTGCTACTGCTACTGCTACTGCTTCTACTGCTGCTGCTGCTGCTGCTGCTGCTGCTCCTATTCCTACTGCTCCTACTCCTACTACTGGTAATACTATTAGTAACTCTATACAAGAAACACGTTCATATGTACCTACAATATTACCAAAGAATGCTGCTATTCCTTCTACCACCACTACATCGACTACAAATGCAAATTTAACTCCAATCTATCCATTAACAACACAGTCTACTACTCAGTACTATCAAAGAAATTTTGCATCTTCTTCCTCTTCTAATTATCTGAGTAATTTAATGCCTCATGGCGTAAAAAGAAACTATCAAGATCATTATAATCAATCAACAACAACAACACCTACCAATTCTTTGCAGATGACCAATAATAGTAATAATAGTAATAGTAATAATACATCTTTACCTATTACTAATAGAATAACAACAACGTCATCATCAACACCAACTACTACTATGGCACAACCACCATCTTTAATGTATTCACATCATCATCAACCTAAACAATTTTATCAACAACAACAACAACAACATCAAAGCGGTTCAGCCGTTACAAATCCTCCTTCTTCCCGTGATCCAAGATCATCATATCAAGAGTTGGCGAATTCAAAAACTGCCGAAGAAGTTTCTCATCACAATCATCTTGTGCAAAGGTTAGTACATAATATATATTTGTGTGTGTATACGTGCGTATGAAATATACATATAATATTTCTATATTATATTTATAATTAATTAGATTCGATTCAGCCATAAAGAAAGATCAAATATCTGTTTTTCAACCTGATTACAGAACACATTTTCGTTCATATCAGGATGCAGTATCCAGACTTTTACCTTATCACATATTTGATTATCCACAAGAGGATATGAAAGCTAATGATCAAATAAACGAATTAGACGGTGTGTAAATGCGCGTGGATGCATGCATATGTATTTGTATATTTTGTATTAATTAATTATTTACGTTTTTTATTTTTAATATTAATAATTATTAGCAACAAAGGTTGCAATAAAACATTATAAAAGAAAAAAAGCAATTATGGATAAATTTGATGAACTTATCAAAAAAGAGGCAAAGGTTAATTGATGGTATTTGTTTTGTTTTATTTACATGATAAATATAACTAACATATTTTATTAAATTTATTATTTTTTTTAGTTACCATATTCAATTCACACAAATCTTTGCGAGAAACTAATTTATGAAAATGAAAAGGCAAAAACTGCAACACTTCGAGAAGAATGTTTTCAACTTGCTGAACTTTTAAAGAAAACTCCAAGATGATAGATAAATTTCTTTATTTTATCAAGAAAATGACTTTATAATAAAAACCTTTACAGAATGCAAATATGGATTATATGTATAGATGATGATGATTATGATGATGATGATGATGATGATGATGATGATGATGATGATAATGAAAACGATGAAAATAAAATGATGAGATGATGAGTAGTATACACGATGTATGTATCTACATAAATGAAATATAACAGATAGCGTAGTCAATAGTATAGTATAATTAATATGTAATATAGTTTTTACAAAATAAAATAAAAAATCATATGTTCTCAAAATATAAATTGGTCAAAGTCAAAAAAGAAAATATTAATTGATGGATATCTAAATACCTATATCAATACCTATATAACCTTCACAACTTCTCCTGACCCCCCATTGCCACCAAATTCACTATGACGATAATTATTATTATCAACATCAGTTATAATAATCTCAATACCATTAGCATTATTATAATTATTATGGTATTCATAATTGTTATAATAATTACCAATATTTCTCATTTTATCATCATTATTATTTTCAATATTATCAATCAAATTAAATTTTTCGAATAAATTTAAAATACTTGATGAAATAATATCAGCATTTTTTTTTTGATAACCACCGCTTAACACCATAACAATGGGTATATCGTGATCAAAAGCCATTCTGAACACCATTTCATCACGTTTTATTATTCCGTCACTGCTCAAATCCATACAACCCAACGGATCACCTTCTAGGCAATCAGTTCCGGCATTGTAAATGATAAAGTTTGGATGAAATTTGTGGAATGATTGGAATATTTGTGATTGGATTAGTGGGAGGTATTTCAAGTCGGATTTAAGATCTGGGGTCGTTAATGGAATTGGTGTGGTTACTGATGAGAATGCATCGTTATCTTGTGGATAAATTTGTGCGTTGAATGCATCTACTATATGAACTTTATCGTTGTTTGCTAAATCTCTTTCATATCCATTTCCCTACAATAATAACAATAATGTTAATAATGAAATAAAAAATAAAAAATTTTTTTTTACAATAATTCAATATATAAATTTATTTAACAACCTGATGAGCATCTAGATCAATAATCATAATTCTAGAAACCTGATCTGGATGTTTACTTAAAGTTCTTTCAACCATTAAACTTATGTCAGCATAAACACAAAATCCACCACCGCCATCATAATGAGCATGATGAAACCCACCACCCAAGTTAATAGCCCATCCATACTTCAATGCCAACTCGGCTGCCAAAGCACTGCCGCCAGTTTGTAATAACATTGGGTCTAAAACTTTTTTTTTCAATAACTGTTGTGGTAAAACTGCTACAATTGGTAGTTCTAGAATTTTTTGCAAGTGTGCATTACTGTTCAACGATTCCAAGTATCTTAACGAGTGGACATTTTCCAAGTCTTCTTGTGTTGGTGGTAATGGTTCATAGAATGAAGATTGTGTTAGATTTTGATGACTTGACGAAATCAAAGTTTTATGAATTCTTTTAAATTTTTGTGTATCAAATGGATGGATCTGTTATGATTTTTGGTTTTGTGAGAAAAAAAAATTTTTTAACCAACCAAAATAAAAAATAAAAAAAATCATAAATCATAACCTTTTCCAATGACCAAAATGCAATATTATAACCTGGATGATATACAATTGGAATTTTTGAAGTAGTTGAAGTGGTCATTACAATATATTTGTTGTTTAAAATATAAAAAGGGTTTGAATTATATATATTCTTTATTTGATTTTTTTGCTCAAAATTTTAAAACAAAGAATGAAAATCATAATAATAAAAAATAATTTATTTTTTTAATATTTGTTTTCTATTTTCGTTTAATCAGGTGTTATTATTATTATTATTATATAAATGAGAAACGGAAATTATTGTATGAAGAAGTGACAGCAATTACATCCAAAGATCATATTAACTATTATTAACCAAAACTCTTTGTAGTAAGTGCTCCGCATGGAATATCCGGATCTTCTTACTATTATTATTATTATTAATTAAAACACGTGATATACACATTATTTTTGGGACAAAAATTGCTAAATTTGATTACTATTACTATTTACTATTATTGCAAGTTATATGTATTTTTCTCTTGGCTGAATCAAAATAAATAAAACATTATCTATCATTTTTAATCCTTTTCTTTAATGGGAACAATGTATTTGTTTCCATAAATTGTATATGTCCGTTACAATATTCATGGTGATTATGTGTTATTATTATTTGAACATATTCATTTTTACAAAGGATTGATAAATAAATTGCATACATAGATCGAGTAATGATAATACCAAGAATGACCTGCAAAAAAAAAATTTAAGGAACCGATCGGTATAGTTGGAAAATAAACCCTTGATCTTCTTTTCTACAATGGTTCCATCCAGGGTGTTGTTAGTGGTCGAGTCACAACTTGGTTCCCTTTCTTGTGTGTGTATGTGTGCTTCCCAATTGCATACAATTACAAGTTGTAGAGTTCCTTAAAAATCGTTCTCAATAAGCAAACCCGATATTGATAATAGGCATGGTTGGCATTGGACAACACATCCTGGATATTATCCAATATGTTCAAGGTGTATTGTGATTGATGTTATTGATGAGGGTAAATCAGATTATTGTGGAGTTGGAGTTGCTCGAGTGAAGGATGTAATTGTTTGTGACGTTGCTGTTGATCCTACGCTCAATATTATGCGTGGATTATTGTCAGCATATTAATATGCCGGTAGTAATTTATTATATTCTCTGCGTTGGATTGTGACGTTCTAATAAGATAGTTTTTATTCACATAAAAAAATAACTTACCATATTCACTCTGTTATTAACTTTTGATTTTGCTAATTTCTTCATATGATCATTCCAAAAGTCGATGTTTGCTTTGAAGTTTATTGTTTAAAAAGAAAAATATTAATTAATATATATCACTTTCACAATATATATTGCAAACAAAGTGTCACAAACCACGCGTGCCATCGGAACTGCTTACTTTCTGTGACAAAGTCACTTGGCCGGCGACCGCGGGGGCATAGTTTCATACGAACAGCCCAAGCCATACGTGCCATCGGCACATTCTCCACTTCAAGCGAGTGAACCGCTTGCCTTCTGTGATGGTCACTCGGCCGGTGACCGCGGGGTATAGTTTGTGCAAATACGCTAGGCAAAGTAGAAAACTTAACTTTAAGCCATTGTTCCATTCTATTTGCACGCTGATGTAGGAGTCCTTTTTCCGGATTTAAATTATAGACAAACCTTCAATATACTTGGTGTCATTGTTATTCACAAAAATATTCATTTATAGCTTCTTCTAAGGGTATTGGAACAGGCCTCTTGAGGAATGGGGAGTTATCGATTGGATATGTTTTACATTAAAAAAGTACCTGGAGCGAACAAATATGATTCCCACAATTCACTTGGATCTGAACTAAAAACGCTTCTTGAAATACTCCCGGTCTATATAAATTTATCATTATTTTTTACTATTTATATACAGTGCAGAAGCAGTGTTGTTGTTGTTGTTAGCTGAATAATCAGTTTCTTCTGTTGTAGCACGTTTTTTAGAATACTTTCCTGTTTTATGATATTTTCTAGTGGAAGATTTAAATTCTGAAGTAGTTTCAGTTATTGGTGTTGATGATGTGGACGTAATTGGTATTGTAGTAGGTTTTGGTGTAATTGTTATAGGTGTCGTCATAGTCGTATTGCAGGTTCAGAGTATACGTAACACGAATTTTACTATGAATACATACCAAACAATCTAGTGTAAGTGTTAGTATTTATTCAATTTCAAATTTAGTAGATTTTGATTGTATGCAAAAATCACCGTAAATCCGTAAATGTTAATTACTAGTCGCATGACATTTCCCGCCGATCTATAGGAGGTTGTAAAACATAGTAAAATTTGGATGATCTGCATCATAGTAA